TTGATGTAGCTCCTCCCTCTGTGTGTAAGTGCTGATGTAGCTCCTCCCTCCATGTGTTATTGTTGATGTAGCTCCTCCCTCTATGTTTTTGTGCTGATGTAGCTCTTCCCTCTGTGCATTACTACTGATGTAGCTCCTCCCTGTGTGTGTTAGTGTTGATGCAGCTCCTCCCTCAGTTTTTTAGTGCTGATGTAGCTTCTTCGTCCATGTGTTAGTGCTGATGTAGTTCCTCTCTCTGTGTCGTTGTGCTGATGTAGCTCCTCCCTCAGTCTGCTAGTGCTGCTGTAGCTCCTTCGTCTGTGTATTAGTATTGATGTAGCTACTTTGTTTGTGCGTTAGTGCTGATGCAGCTCCTCCCTCTGTGTGTCAGTGCTGATGTAGCTCCTCCGTCTGTGTGTAAGTGCTTAAGTAGCTCCTCCTTCTGTGTGTTAGTGTTGATGTAGCTCCTCCTTCAGTCTGTTAGCGCTGCTGTATCTCCTTCGTCTGTGTATTAGTATTGATGTAGCTCCTTCGTCTGTGCGTTCGTGCTGATGTAGCTCCTCCCTCAGTCTGTTAGTGCTGATGTAGCTCCCTTCTCTTTGTGTGACATTGTGACGGATGCTCCTCTTTCTCTCTCAGCAGGTGAATCACACCTGCGGCGCAGCGGCACTGACATCATCCCGAAGGCTCGGATGAAGACTCTGAAGATGACAGTGGTCATCGTTATGTCCTTTGTGGTGTGCTGGACTCCGTATTACCTTCTGGGTATCTGGTACTGGTTCAATCCCAACATGTTGAGCATGACACCTGAGTATGTTCACCACGCCCTGTTCGTGTTCGGTAACCTGAACACCTGCTGCGACCCCGTCATCTATGGCTTCTACACACCGTCCTTCAGGGCCGATCTAGCAGCATGCTACCGCCAGTCCAGGAGACACACCTCCCCCCAATCTCTGAACCGCCTGTCTGCCAGGCAGGGTCCTCATACCAGCGAAGAGCAACCTGCAGATCCTGCCCAGGCTGCTATAGACTGAGCAGTTAGATGGTGACTGGGTTGTTCCCTGTGAACAGGAAGTTTTCTTTCTGCACATTTTGAAGCTTTCCTTTGTGTTTTAGTAAATTTAACCCTAAAATCAGAGAATAAAGATGTCTGTTTGTCTTCTTCTGTTCTGGGACAGAGTTCAGTAGTAACCTTATACCTGGTTTCACCTCTGTGAGCAAAAAGCCTTCACTGACCTTTGAAAGATGAATTCTTCTTGATGCTCTGATGAAAACTGAAGTGTTTTAACCAAAGCGGTGTAACATGTCCCCTAATAAAGCCTCAAATAACTGGAAATAATTACATTTCATATGAAGCATATCCATCAGCAAGTTGCAGCAAGCAGCAAGAACAGCATGACTGAACAAAATCCAACACCTGACTCAAAGGCAGTGGTGGAGAAAGTACTCAAACATTGTACTTAACCACATTAGCATGTTTACTTAAGTAAAAGTAAATAAATACTTGCTTTTAAAAATACTTAAAGTATTAAAAGTAAAAGTACTTGGTGAAGGTATTACCTAATGCAGTGGCCTACAATATTACTATACTGTATGTATATTTTCCGTAATACAGTAATAGCGTTGTGTCATTTTAATGAACATGTATTTAATGCATGTTTTTGGGGGCCGAGATGGTGTAGGGGCAGGGCAGCCAACTCAGGACCTGAAGGTTCTGGGTTCAATCCCCAGTCATTGTGCATCTTGTTGTGTCTCTGAGCAGGACACCTTATCCCCAGTTGCTCCCTGGGTGCTTTCCATAGCTGCCCACTGCTCCACCTGGTGGTGGATGGGTTAAATGCAGAGAACCAAATTTGCCATTGTATGGGAACATAGAATGATGACAACACATAACACATTATTATTACAATATTACAATAAAAAGTGTTTACTCTCTGTGACACAGTTCACACTTGGACGTGTGATTCTGTGCGTCAGAATTTTAGGGATGACATACAGAGTTAAATGCCATTAATCAAAATAAGAAAGAGGAATGATTATACCTTTGAAAGTTTTTAATTTCACACAAAGCAAAACCAATGTGTCATTTTAACTGCAGTAAATAATTTAAGTAAAAGATATCTGTCTGAAAAAAGGAGCATTAGACCGAACAAAGGAACAGGCTCTGATCATTTCAACTCCAGTTTGTTATCAACTCTAGTTAAAACACTGTCTAGTCAAACTTGTAATAGGTCAACAGTGAATGATATTTTAACTTCCTGACACCATTTTCAAAACTTGGACCTGAGTGTTGAGCCATTTGGAGACATCTCTTGTCTCCTGTCCTAACATCCCACGAACTGACACATTTTAATATTGTAGCAAGAATTTCTAGTTCAAGTTCAGAAGTTGGTTTTCAAAGTTTTTTGAGTCCAGTCTCAATTCAATTCAGTTTATTTCTAAAGCACCAAGTCACAACAGAAGTTGTCTCAGGGACTGAACAGAAACATTCATGTATAAAATAATAATTGAACAGAAACATTCATCTATAAAATAATAATTGAACAGAAACATTCATGTATAAAATAATAATTAACAGAAACATTCATGTATAAAATAATAACTGAACATTATTGATCTGAGGAGCAGCTTTGAGTTTAACTCCATCACTGAACTCTCATCTTGAACAAGCATGAAGGCGACAGTGGAAAGAAAAACTCCCTCATGAGGAAGAAACCTTTAGCAGAACCAGGATCAGGACAAGAGGACCATCTGCTTCGACCAGCTGGGTTTGGTAGGAATAGATACACAATGGCAGCTCAAGAATCACATGTTAAGATAGAAATAGTATCAAATGAAAACTATTCAATTTTAACAATTCATTTAAGGAAATGAGGTCAGTTTGTCCTCTAGTAGTCTAAGTCTATAGCAGCATAACAAGCCGACCCTAACTATAGATTTATCAAAAAGGAAAGTCTTAATCCCAGTCTTCAAACTGGACAATGTGTCAGTCTCATGGACAGAAACTGGAAGTTGGTTCCACAAGAGAGGAGCCTGAGAACTGAAAGATCTTCCTCCCATTCTGCTTCTGGAAACTCTAGGAACCACGAGTAAACCTGCAGCCTGAGAGTGAAGTGCTCTGTTGGGAAAATATGGAACAATAAGATCGGTAATATAAGATGGAGCTAGGTGGTTGAGGGCTTTGTAGGTTAGAAGTAAGATTTTGAATTATATTCTGGATTTGACAGGGAGCCAATGGAGAGAAGCTAAAACTGGAGAGATATGATCTCAGTCTGGTTCTTTTGGGAGAGAAAATCTGTCCTTCTGTGCTGAATGGTCTTTTAATAGTCTTTCAATAAGGTCATGGGTGGCGCGTATCTTCTGGCTGACTCCACGGTGGAATCCATTTTGGGTGTGTTAGCGGTACTGCTGGTACGCCCAGCTCAATGATGTATATACTAGAATATCCATCAATGGCCCAGCTCTTCATTAAGGTTGGTTTAACGTTACCTGTCCACTTTGCAGTGATTCATTGGACCAACTCCCAGTTACCATTGGCAACTTTCAAACTAACGAACAAATAAAAAAACTGCAACGTGAATGTAACTTGTAAGGCAACGCATTATAGAAATGTAGTGTAGTAGAATGTACATATGCTTAATGTAAAATGTAGTGGAGTAAAAGTCGAATGTACCCACGTTTAACTCTATTCAAATAAAGTAAAGATACATGACAAATGCACTTAAGTACAGTAACAAAGTACTTGTACTTGTTGTTCTAGTTGAGTATCCCGTTGGTCTAAATGGGTTTAAAAACTGAACTACAGGAACAGAATCAGAGTCTAAGACCACAAGGAAGGACACGTGTCAGGAGACAGAGGGAGAAAAGGAAAGTGAAGAATGTAGGACTGAGGGTTGTAACTCTAAATGTGGGGACAATGACAGACAAAGGTAGAAAGCTGACTGACATGATGCTGAGAAGGAAGGTAGATGTTTTATGTGTCCAAGAGACCAAGTGGAAGGGCATCAAGGCTCGCAGCATTGGAGCAGGGTTCAAACTGTTTTACCATGGTGTGGATGGAAAGAGAAATGGAGTAGGGGTGGTCCTGAAGGAGGAGTTGGCAAAGAATGTAGTAGAGGTGAAAAGGGTGTCAGATAGGGTGATGTGTCTGAAGGTCGAAGTAGAAGGTCTGATACTAAATGTTGTCAGTGGTTATGCTCCACAGGTTGGATGTGATGTGGAGGAGAAAGATACATTTTGTAAAGATCTGGATGAAGTGATAGAGAGTATGCCCAGGGAGGAGAGGGTGGTGATGGGAGCAGACCTGAATGGACATGTTGGTGAAGGAAACAGAGAATGAGGAAGTGATGGCTAGGTTTGGTGTCAAGGAAAGAAACCAGGAAGGACAGATGGTGGTGGATTTCACCAAGAGAATGGAAATGGCTGTAGTCAAATTGGAGTGTGGTAAAGAGGTGAAGAATAGAGTCCTGGCAGGATGGAGTGGATGGAGAAAAGTTTCTGGTGTGATTTGCGACATAAGTGTGTTAAAGAAGGGAGCTGGCTGCGGGCCACCGGACCCGGAAACCCCATCAAGCCCATGTCTTTTCCCCCCGGCTTGACTCTCCCTCAGAAGTGGCAACTCTCATTATCAATAAATCAAGGAAACATCAATTAAGTTTTATCAATTATATTAAAATCAAGGCAGGAAAAGGCTACAGTTTACAGCGCTGGACTATCCGGTCTGTGACGCGTTCACAGACCCGGAAGAGCCCCAATGTCCCGTGTCATTACTCATTTATAGGGTCCTGGACTCCTCCTTCGCAGAAGGGGAGCTCAACCTGTCATTGTATGAGGGGGCATGGCTAAGTGTGATCTCAGTGGATCTTATGTGGTTCTGAGGTGTTAGGAAATATGAGACGGTGCTTCAAAAGCCTTTCTGCGTGATGTGGCAAGCAGATTAAACTCTCTTCCTTGACTGATATTGAAATCCCAGGGAGACTCTCTTAGAGCTGCTGGCCCAGTTTAACCCAGTCAGAACCGGGTCATAATTTCATTATAATCCCATCTCTGAGCAGATCAAAACCATAGGACCAGTCCAAAAATATCTTAACAGCGGTGTCAGCAAAGGTCAGAGGAAAAGTTTATAAGCCAGTGGTGAGACCAGCTTTGTTGTATGGTCTGGAGACAGAGACATGGACAAAAAGACAGGAGACATAACTGGAAGTAGCATAACTGAAGATGTTGAGGTTCTCCTTAGGAGTGACAAGGATGGAGAAGATTATGAATTAGATCATCAGAGGTACAGCACAGGTTGAACAGCTGGGAAGCAAAGTTAGAGAGGACACACTGAGAGGGTTTGGACATGTCCAGAGGAGGGACAGTGGTTTGGACATGTCCAGAGGAGGGACAGTGGTTTGGACTTGTTTAGAGGAGGGACAGTGGTTTGGACTTGTTTAGAGGAAATACAGGGGATTTTGGTAGAAGGATGTTAGAAATGCAGCTGCCAGGAAAAAGACAAAGAGGAGATATATGGATGCAGTTAGAGAGGACATGGAGATAGTTGGAGTGAGGACAGAGGATGCAGAGGACAAAGTGAGATGGAGGAAGATGACTCCCTGTGGAGACCCCTGAAGAGGGAAAAGCCAAAAGAAGAAGAAGAAGTAACAGAATCTAAACCAAGTAACCCTAACTTCTCAGTTAGAAAATAAAAGTTCAAACTTCCCTTTGATTGATATCAGTTAAGGATTATTCCTGAGACACATTTTTGCATTAAAAATGCAGTCCTCTCTATCAGAATATGAGTCATTCATTAAATGTCCGATACGTTAAGACTTTTACTTAAGTAATAATTTTAAAGGAGACTTTAACTTTTACCAAAGTAATTTTATGGTAAGATACTTGTACTTTCACTGAAGTATCACTTTGAGGTACTTTATACAACACTGAATATGACAATACCCATGATTACTTTGCTGCTTAAAATGAAGCAGAAACCACAGCCATCCAGCTGGTTGCCAAAGGAGTGATTCATTTAGTCATTGGTAAACCAGGCTTG